TGCAGCAGCAGGTGTGTAGCAACACAGGTGTTGCAGCAGCAGGTATGTAGCAACACAGGTGTTGCAGAAGCAGGTGTGTAGCAACACAGGTGTTGCAGCAGACGGTGTGTAGCAACACAGGTGTTGTTGCAGCAGCATTTGTGTAGTAACACAAGTGTTGTAGCAGCATGTGTGTAGTAACACAGGTGTTGCAGTAGCAGGTGTGTAGCAACACAGGTGTTGTAGCAGCAGGTGTGTAGCAACGAAGGTGTTGTAGCAGCAGATATGTAGCAACACAGGTGTTGCAGCAGCAGGTGTGTAGCAACACAGGTGTTTCAGCAGCAGGTGTGTAGTAACACAGGTGTTGCAGCAGCAGATATGTAGCAACACAGGTGTTGCAGCAGCTGGTGTGTAGCAACACAGGTGTTACAGCAGCAGGTGTGTAGCAACACAGGTGTTGCAGCAGCAGGTGTGTAGCAACACAAGTGTTGCAGCAGCAGGTGTGTAGCAACACAAGTGTTGCAGCAGCAGGTGTGTAGCAACACAGGTGTTGCAGCAGCAGGTATGTAGCAACACAGGTGTTGCAGAAGCAGGTGTGTAGCAACACAGGTGTTGCAGCAGACGGTGTGTAGCAACACAGGTGTTGTTGCAGCAGCATTTGTGTAGTAACACAAGTGTTGTAGCAGCATGTGTGTAGTAACACAGGTGTTGCAGTAGCAGGTGTGTAGCAACACAGGTGTTGTAGCAGCAGGTGTGTAGCAACGAAGGTGTTGTAGCAGCAGGTGTATAGAACACAGGTGTTGCAGCAGCAGGTGTGTAGCAACACAGGTGTTGTAGCAGCAGGTGTGTAACAACACAGGTGTTGTAACAGGTGTTTCAATAGCAGGTGTGCAGCAACACATTTGTTGCAGCAGCAGGTGTGTAACAGCACAGGTGCTGTAGCATCAGGTGTGTAGCAACACAGATGTTGTAGTAGCAGGTGTGTAGCAACACGGGTGTTGCAGCAGCAGGTGTGTAGAAACACAGGTGTTGTGGCAGCAGGTGTGTAGCAACGCAGGTGTTGTAGTAGTAGTTGTGTAGCAACAAGTGTTGCAGCAGGTGTGTAGCAGCACAGGTGTTGTAGCAGGTGTGTAGTAACACAGGTGTTGCAGAAGACTGTGCGTAGCAACACAGGTGTTGTTGCGGCATGTGTGTAGTAACACAGGTGTTGTAGCATCAGGTATATACCAACAAAGGTGTTGCAGCAGGTGTGTTACAACACAGGTGCTGTAGCAGCAGGTAAGTAGCAACATAGGTGTTGCAGAAGCAGGTGTGTAGCAACACACAGGTGTTGTAACAGCAGGTGTGTAGCAACACGGGTGTTGCAGCAACAGGTGAGTAGCAACACACAGGTGTGTACCCACCTTGAGGATTGCGATGTTAGGTTTGTGCTTCCGTCTCTGACTCTTAGGGCTGAGCCTAGCAGCTAGCTTGGCTGCTGTGGAGGTGCCCCTAAACGTGCTATGCTTCTTCCTCTCTGCTGCTGCTGTTGCTGCTGCTGCTGCCGCGGCTACTGCTGCCTCCCGCTGCCCCTCCTGCGTCTGCGTCTGCTCCCCGTCAGCGTTCTCGCCCCTCTCCTTGGCGTTCCTATCTTCCTGCTGTTGCTGTAAGAGTGTTGGGAATGAGAATTAACAACTGATGATATAGATATCGTGTTTGATCCAAGGAAGGAGAGGAGAGATCCACTTTAATGGCCCAGGAGCCCTTCATAAGCATCAAGGTACCCATTTTAAAAAGCAAAACATAGTAGAAAAGGGCAGAAAATGGTAAGAAACGACAGAAAAGGGTAGAAAAAGGCAGAAAATGGTAGAAAATGGCAGAAAATGGAAGAAAAGAGCAGAAAATGGTAGAAATATGTGGAAAAGGGCAGAAAATAGTAAAATTGCGGAAAAGGGCAGAGAAAGTAGGATAGGGGTAGAAAATGATAAAATGGGCAGAAAAAATAGAAAATGGGAGAAAGGGGTAGAAAATGACAGAAAAAAACAGAAAAGTGTAGAAAATGGTAGAAAAGGGCAGGAGGATGCTAACCAAGGCGACGGCCTCCAGGGAGGCGAAGTACTTCGTCCACCAGTCTCTGTTCTCCTCGTCTTCCTCCTCCATCTCCATACTCTGTTTCCGTCGTTTATTGGCTTCCGCTTTCTCCTTCTTGGACACTGCCACCAGCTTGGACACAGCTCCTGAGCCCTGAGTGGTAGTAACAGTGTCCAGGCACCGTGAACACACATCAATCGGTACTATGAAACAAAATATGAAATGTGAAGTGACAGAGGTTTAGGGAGAGAGATAGACTACATATTTTGGGAGATGATATGACAACTAAAATATATTATTCCTTTAATATAATGATTATTATTATTATTATTATTATTATTATTATTATTATTATTATTATTATTATTATTATTATTATTATTGCTTTCATCATCATCATCATCATCATCATCATCAAAGAATTTTTATGAAGGTAAGGTGAAAAATTTTAAATTGGCAAAAACGAAAATTATATGTATGTATATGTCGTGTCGAATAGGTAAAACTGGTTAATTAGCAAGAACTTTTTAATGCAAAAATTAATAATTTTTTTATCAAAAGAATCTTAGAAAGCTTACGTAGCTTTATTATAACAAGCGCAATTTAATTTAGCCTAATCCAACTAAATATATTTTAAATAGGTTTACAATAATTTAATAATAAACAAACACAATGGAATATATTTTTTTCGTTAGGCTCAGAATGATTTTTTTGCGAAATTACTGCATATACAATTTTTTGCAAGATTTACCTATCCGGCAATGTATATATATATATATATATATATATATATATATATAATATATATATATATATATATATATATATATATATATATATATATATATATATATATATATATATATATATATATATGCAATAAAATCACAGTAAACAGAAAAAATAGTGAAATTCCAAGCGCTTTCGTAGCTTCTCACATTAGCAAGGAACTATAAAAAAAAGACATCACAACAAGACTACACCTCACAATCACATCTCAAGAACAAGACTACACCTCACAGTCATGTCGCAACACCCAACTCTGTGAAACACAGCTGATACTCTACCCAAGCATTAAAATTTTTTACTTGTCTAATGCATCATTAAATTCTTCCCAAATTTATTAATTATGAAATAATCCAATTTATAGAAACCAAAAGAAATATACATATTATTTTCAAAACTGCTTTTTATGAAACAAGATTCAATTATATTCCTGTCAACCATGGACTTGCTTGACACAACTTTCTCAACTTTTTGAAAATCAATTGGATGGTTAAAATCTCTCACATGAATAAATAGAGCATTGGAATCTTGTCCAGTTCAAATGCTATATTTATGTTGTTTTAATCTTAGTTCGAGACTTTTACCAGTTTGACCGTAATAAACTTTATCACGTATTTTACAAGAAATCTTATAGACACATCCATCAGCATTTTGGGGGTAATTTTTATCAAAAGTTTTTTTTTTTACTGTATCAAGATTTTTGAATACAACTTTAATATTAAAAGTCTTAAGAAGAGAAGGCATATCAACCAAGTTTTCATGGTAAGGGAGAACCAACATATTTTTAGTTGAATAAGGCTGGTTGTCCCTTTTTGAGCTGTAAAAAGTATTTCTAGCAATTTTAAAGGATTTATCAGTTGTTTCTTGGGTATTTTAGATCATTAGCTATTTCATAAATTTTGGGTATTTCTTCATCTATGAATTCTGAACTAGAAATACGTAAGGCTCTCAAAAACACTGATGAGAATATTGACAGTTTAACTCTATCTTGATGTGAAGAATAATAGTGTACATAGGAAGAGTTATTTGTTAATTTTCTGTAAATTTTTAATTTAAAATAATTGTTGCCCTTAATAATTAAAGCAGTCAACGTTTTGATGAAAATGAACCACCATCACCAGGATTCATTTCTGGAACAAGACATAACAATAAACAATTTGCAGTGCACAAATTATAACTGAGTTAGGTACGAAGTTGTTGTTAAAATGCTCTATATGGAAAGAAAACCTGGTTGACAGTGTCCTCATCTCGCATGCTGGATGACAGCGAATCATTTACACTTAAGATGTCAAGATTAGACATTTGGACACATGAACGCAAGGAATTTAGCTACCATTTCAGTTTGAGTGGTGAAGCTTATATTATTCATGTCTGAGCCCGTTTCTATGTAAGAGCTACAATGGTGGCCTAGTGAAGTAGAGGAAGCCATCGTCGTGTTCCACGACTACACTACCAGTTGCAACGGTGGCTTAATGGAGGAAGCCATCGTTGTGCCACAACGATAACGCTACCAGCTGAGCTGCAGCAGTGGTTTAGTGGAAGAAATCATCGTTGTGTTCCACAAATACAATACTACCAGCTGCAGCGGTGGCTAAGTAGAGGAAGCCATCGGTGTACACAGTTTGTGAAAGATTAAGTTGTGTGATTGAAATATTAATATAAATTAAATCATTACAGATACCGCAATATGCGGATTATTTTTATGCAGCACTTCATTAATTCCAGCAGGTCTGTAGCTTTCTTATACACTGGCAATTTAACCAGAAAATATTTCCAGAAAGACATGATGGAGGGGAAGAAAGGTTAGTAAAACTTAAGAAATCTTACACATGTGTTGTGGAAGGTAATAAAAACATATATTAAATTTAATAAAGCAAGCAAGCAAACATGTTTAATTTAAAAAAAAGCCCCCCCTCCAAAAAACATAAAAAAAAGCACACACACAGGTAAATATGGAATCTGAAAGTTATGAAAATAAACCAAACCAATGGAACGACTTGGCCATACACCCACATAGTCGATGGTGATGACTGTGTCCTTCTGCAGGAGAGGACTCCTCTCCGTCTCTTTCCTGTAGGACACGCTGCCCCCGCCCACTACACCACCGTGCACGTTATTGGACACCAAGGTATGGTTGGCAGCCCCGTTGTTGTCCTCGTTATTTCCTGAGAGATGAGAGAGGCAGGTTGTGTGAGTGGAGGGCAGGTGGTGTGAGTGCAGGGCAGTTGGTGTTAACGAGGGGCAGGCAAGACATATTTGACATATTTGTGTGTGTGTGTGTGTGCGTGTGTGTGTGTGTGTGTGTGTGTGTGTGTGTGTGTGTGTGTGTGTACTCACCTATTTGTACTCACCTATTTGTGGTTGCAGGGGTCGAGTCACAGCTCCTGGCCCCGCCTCTTCGCTGATTGCTACTAGGTCCTCTCTCTCCCTGCCCCATGAGCTCTATCATACCTCGCCTTAAAACTATGTATGGTTCCTGCCTCCACCACATCACTTTCTAGGCTATTCCATGGCCTGACTACTCTATGACTGAAGAAATACTTCCTAACATCCCTTTGATTCATCTGAGTCTTCAACTTCCAATTGTGACCTCTTGTGTCTGTGTCCCATCTCTGGAACATCCCGTCTTTGTCCACCTCGTCTATTCTGCGCAGTATTTTATATGTCGTTATCATGTCTCCCCTGACCCTCCTGGCCTCCAGTGTCGTCAGGCCGATTTCCCTCAACCTTTCTTCATAGGACAATCCCCGTAGCTCTGGGACTAGTCTTGTTGCAAACCTTTGCACTTTCTCTAATTTCTTGACGTGCTTGACTAGGTGTGGATTCCAAACTGGTGCTGCATACTCCAGTATGGGCCTGACGTAGATGGTGTACAGAGTCTTAAAACGAATCCTTACTGAGGTATCGGAACGCTATCCGTAGGTTTGCCAGGCGCCCGTATGCTGCAGCAGTTATCTGATTGATGTGCGCCTCAGGAGATATGCTCGGTGTTATACTCACCCCCAGATCTTTTTCCTTTAGTGAGGTTTGCAGTCTTTGGCCATCTAAACTATATTGTGTCTGCGGTCTTCTTTGCCCTTCCCCAATTTTTCATGACTTTGCATTTGGCAGGGTTAAATTCAAGGAGCCAGTTGCTGGACCAGGCTTGTAGCCTGTCCAGATCTCTTTGTAGTCCTGCCTGATCCTCGTCCGATTCGATTTTTCTCATTAACTTCACATCGTCTGCAAACAAGGACACTTCTGAGTCTATCCCTTCCGTTATGTCGTTCACGTATACCAAGAACAGCACAGGTCCTAGGACTGACCCCTGTGGAACCCCGCTTGTCACAGGCGCCCACTCTGACACCTCGTCGCGTACCATGACTCGTTGTTTCCTCCCTGTCAGATATTCTCTGATCCATTGCAGTGCCTTTCCTGTTATGTGTGCCTGGTCCTCTAGCTTTTGCAGTAACCTCTTGTGAGGAACTGTGTCGGAAGCCTTCTTGCAGTCCAAAAATACGCAGTCGATCCACCCCTCTCTCTTGTCTACTTCTGTCACCTTGTCATAAAACTCTGTAGGTTTGTGACACAGGATTTTCCTTCCCTGAAACCGTGCTGGTTGTCAATTATACACTTGTTTCTTTCCAGGTGCCCCACCACTCTCCTCCTGATGATCTTCTCCATGACCTTGCATGCTATACACGTTAGAGATACAGGTCTGTAGTTTAGTGCCTCATGTCTGTCTCCCTTTTTAAAAATTGGGACTACATTTGCCATTTTCCATACCTCAGGGAGTTGCCCAGTTTCAAATGATGTGTTGAAGATCTTTGTTAATAGCTCACACAATATCTCTGCTCCCTCTTTAAGGACCCATGGAGAGATGTTGTCTGGTCCCACCGCCTTTGAGGTGTCAAGCTCGCATAGCAGCTTCTTCACCTCCTCCTTGGTTATATGTACCTCATCCAGCACTTGCTGGTGTGCCCCCCTGTTCTGATTTCTTGGAGTCCTACTGGTTTCCACTGTAAATACCTCTTTAAATCTTGTGTTGAGCTCCTGACATACCTCTCGGTCGTTTCTTGTGAATTCCCCATCACCCTTCCTCAGTCTGATTACTGGTCCTTGACGTTTGTTTTCCTCCTGATGTGGCTGTACAACAGCTTCGGGTCAGTCTTTACTTTTGATGCTATGTCATTTCATATTGTCTCTGAGCCTCCCTTCTTATCTGTGCATATTCGTTTCTGGCTCTTCGGCTGATTTCTTTATTTTCCTGAGTTCTCTGTCTTCTGTACCTTTTCCATTCTCTAGTACACCTAGTTTTTCCTCCCTACACCTTTGGGTGAACCAAGGACTCGTTCTGTTCTTCCCATTATTTCTGTTTCCCTTGGGAACAAACCTCTCCTCTGCCTCCTTGCATTTTGTTGCTACATAGTCCATCATTTCTTGTACTGGTTTTCCTGTCAGTTCCCTCTCCCACTGAATGTCTTGAAGGAAGTTCCTCATGCCTCAGTAGTTCCCCCTTTTGTAGTTTGGTTTTTCCAGCCTATTCTGCTACTCTCTCCACTTGGAGCTCAACTATGTAGTCGAAGCACAGAACCACATGATCACTAGCTCCCAGGGGCCTTTCATACATGATACCCTCGATGTCCGAACTACTCATGGTGAATACAAGGTCCAACCTTGCTGGTTCATCCTCTCCTCTCTCTCTGGTAGTGTCTCTAACATGTTGATGCATGAGGTTCTCCAGTACCACATCCATCATCTTGGCTCTCCATTGTTTCGGGACCCCATGGGGCTCCAGGTTTTCCCAGTCAATCTCCTTGTGATTGAAATCACCCATAACTAGTAACTTTGCTCCCCCCCATGTGTGCTCTCCTGGCCACCTCGGCTAGTGTGTTGATCATTGCTCTGTTGCTCTCATCGTATTCTTCTCTTGGCCTCCTGCAGTTCTGTGGTGGGTTGTACATTACTGCAATTATCACCTTATGTCCCTCAGACTGGATTGTTCCTACTAAGTAGTCCCTTTCGCCCATGCCATCCATTCCTTCCATTTTCTCAAAACCCCACTGGTTTTTAATGAGCAGTGCAACTCCTCCTCCCTGTGTGTGTGTGTGTGTGTGTGTGTGTGTGTGTGTGTGTGTGTGTGTGTGTGTGTGTGTATGTGTGTGTGTGTTTTCTACATAGATGCAGTTGCAGTTACATGCTAAGAGGTTGTATCTTTCCTTAGCACATTTCTGTGTCTGGCACTGACTGTGATGTGCCACCCTCCAGGATGTCACAGCCAAGGTGCTACTCCGATGGTGCATAATAATCTACACCTGGAAGGTTCTGGATGGATTTGTCCCAAATCTGCACACCAAAATCACTGCATAACAACAAAGGAGTGTTAATACCGAGCACTTCTCCTGAGGCGCACATCAAACAGAAAACTGCTGCAGCATACGGGCGTCTGGCAAACCTAAGAATAGCGTTCTGATACCTCAGTAAGGAATCGCTCAAGACTCTGTACACCATGTACGTCAGGCCCATACTGGAGTATGCAGCACCAGTTTGGAATCCACACCAGGTCAACCACGTCAAGAATTTAGAGAAAGTGCAAAGGATTGCAACAAGACTAGTCCCAGAGCTAAGGGTAATGTCCTACGAAGAAAGGTTAAGGGAAATCGGCCTGACGACTCAGGAGGACAGGAGGGTTAGGGGAGACATGATAAAGACATATGAAATACTGTGAGGAATTGACAAGGTGGACAGAGACAGGATGTTCCAGAGATGGGACAGAGAAACATGGGGTCACAATTGGAAGTTGAAGACTCAGATGAGTCAAAGGGATGTCAGGAAGTATTTCTTCAGTCATAGAGATGTTAGGAAGTGGAAGAGTCTGGAAAGTGAGGCAGTGGAGGCAGGAACCATGTATAGTTTTATGACGAGATTTGATAAAGTTCATGGAACAGGGAGAGAGAGGACCTAGTAGCGATTAATGAAGAGGTTGGATCAGGAGCTATGACTCGACTCCTGCAACCACAAATAGTTTAGCAAATAAATGAGTGCAGGAGGCTTAGCAGACAGCACAACATGCCTCCTATGAGAAGCAGGGGAGCGAGAAGTACATTGAATACGCTGAGGTCAGTGGTCAGTACGCTGAGGTCAGTGGTCATCTGCGGTCATACCTCTCCTAAGCTCTTGGGAGTTAGCGTGGGGTGTTACCAAGCACCATGGCTTGTTGTAGTGTTTTAGAATCTCAGGTTCAAGTGTTGAAGAAGGAGTTTCTACTTCTTCAGGAGGAAAATAGGAGGCTGAAGCTTCACATAGATGAGTTTGGGAGCGAGTGTGAGAAGGATTTAGCTGGTAAGGAGGAGATGGTCACCAGCAGTGACAGTGGCAGCCGCTTTAAGTGGCAAGTGATTCACAGTTCAGGAAGAAGGAAGATAAGGAGGGTTAACAGAGAAGATGTGAAGGTAGGAAATCGATTCTCTGTTTTCCAGGACGAGTGCACTTCAGTAGTTAGAGAGGTTGAAGGTACCACTGATCCCCCTGCTAGTCAAGGTAAGAATATTTTAATAGTAGGAGATTCTCAGGTAAGATATATGGACCATGCTTTTTGTAACAGAGATAGAAGGGTCAGACAGAGAGTGTGCCTTCCAGGAGCTGGTGTTGGTGACCTGGTCAGCAGGTTGGATAATATTATGGCAGGTAATGGGAGCAAGCCCATTATCTGTCTTAATGCTGGGGGTAATGACAATGGGAATGGCAGGAGACAGGAACTGCTGGATGAGTACAGGTCAGTCATAGAAGTAGTTAGGTCTAAGGGAGGGATCCCAGTCATATGTAGCATCTTGCCTAAAAAGGGAGTGGGCAATGAATGGATGTCTAGGGCAATTGGTATAAATTGCTGGCTAGACAGGTACTGCAAGGAACTTGCAATCCCATTTATTGATAACTGGGACCTATTCTTTGGCAAACATGATATGTATGCAAGGGATGGGCTTCATCTTTTTGGGGATTGAGTGGTTGCATTAGTCAATTCGATTGAGAGGGTAATTGATGACTTGTCTAGAAATTTAAACTGATAGATTATAGAGGTATGGGTGTTTGTGGGAAACAATCAGGCTGCAGTATTAGGGTTAAAAACAGCAGTTATTACCGGGATACCTCAGGGATATGTTTAAAAGACAATATTCAAAATAAAGTT